GGCTAAATGTTGTTCTTTAGCTGATATTTATTTCACAGCTAACACAAACCATTGAGAAGATGAAATCTGGCATATGACTCTCACATACAAGCCCATTAACAAGCCTATATCAGGACTCAATCAAACTGAGCAAATACTTCTAGAAATTTCCCTTGTGTGTTTTATTCAGTTAGTAGGAGAATTCAAAGCCTCAACTCTGCCACATATATCCAGCCCAGATGCTCAAAGCACTTGATTTTACCCCAGGGCAAAATTCCATATTCAAGACTAGATCTAGAACAGATGGCCACTCCACCTCTATAATCTTGCTGTGCCCTATGAATAAATGAAATGAATAAGGGGAACAGAGATTCCACAACAGGGCCAGAATAAACATTATTACCATTAATACTACTAATAATATTTATTAAGTACTTTTGTGTACATGATACCCTAATAGCTCTGCACAGAATGAGTCCTGGTGATCATAGTGTTCCATGTAGAAGCTATGTACATTCTTTATGCTCATAAAGAATGCAGCTCTGGCCAAAACCGGTTTGGCTCAGTGGATAGAGCGTCGGCCTGCGGACTGAAAGGTCCCAGGTTCGATTCCGGTCAAGGGCATGTACCTGGGTTGCGGGCACATCCCCCGTGGGAGATGTGCAGGAGGCAGCTCGTCGATGTTTCTCTCCCATCGATGTTTCTAACTATCTATCTCTCTCCCTTCCTCTCTGTAAAAAATCAATAAAATATATATATAAAAAAAAAAAGAATGCAGCTCTGGCCTTCACAGAGTTTTCCATCTGAGCAGGGATTAAGTGTCTAGTACCATTCTAGCAGATATAAAATCAATTCCTCAAGAATTTAGTGAGCCCGATTATGGGTCAGTTCTTTGGGGATAATGAATGATAACACCCCTCTTCTCACGTTGGCTATAATCTACTTGATAAAAAAATAAAAATACAAGAGTTCACAGTTACATGTTAATTTATGTGGTACATACAATAAATATTCAGGAGATAAATGAGAGTCCTACTACTACTACCACTACTACTAGCTGACACTTAGATAGCACTTCTGGTATATTGGGCAATGCTTTATCTGTGTTAACTTATTTAAATGCTCATCTCAGGTATATTCCATTATTATACTCATTCCATAAGTGGGGAGATTGAGGTGCAGAGGATTAAGTCACTTGCCTGCAATAACTGGCAGAGTAGGGCTCTTACCTCTTAACCACAAAGTTAAAGAAAGGACTCATGAAAGAGAGAGGCATTGAACTAAATGTGCAGGATTTAGCAAAGAACAAAGAGGAAAAGGTATGTCAAGAGAGAAGCAGAACTTGAGCAAAGGCAGCAATGAGCACAATATGAATGGAAGATGGAGAGCAGTGGGAAGGAAGATTCAATTCTGAGCAAGATAGAGTCAAATTATGAAAAGTCTTAAATTTTAAAAAAGGTTTAAAAAAATAAAAATAAAATGTTTAAGCTTAGATGTAACACAGTAGGATTTAGAAAGCGACTGATGGTATGCTGCCTCAGATGACAACTCCTGAGCATCTCTATGGTCCTAGGGGCATATGTGCAAGGAAGAGAAGAATGATGTCATCTCATTCCTCCGAACCAATGATCCAGCCTTTGCCAATGTTTCTGGTTTTAGCATTAATTTGCTGGTGGCTCTTTATAATAAAAACTAGAGGCCCGGTGCACAAAATGCATACACTGGGGGGGGGGGGGCCCTCAGCCCGGCCTGCACCCTCTCGCAGTCTGGGAGCCCTTGGGGGAATGTCCCACTGACAGCTTAGGCGGGAAGCGGGCTTAAGCCGTCAGTTGGACATCCTTAGCACTGCTGCAGTCCTGCCAGCTGTGAGCCCGGTTCTGGCTGAGCGGTGCTCCCCTGTGGGAGCACACTGACCACCAGGGGGCAACTCCTGCATTGAGCGTCTGCTTTCTGGTGGTCAGTGCACATCATAGTAACTGGTCATTCTGCTGTCAGGCCGAAACCAGCTCTCCAACATCCCCCGAGGGGTCACGGATTGTGAGAGGGTGCAGGCCAGGCCAAGGGACCCCACCAGTGCACAATCGGGGCTGGGAGGGACGTGGGAGGTTGGCCAGCCGGGAGGGACCGCTGGAGGGTTCCAGGGTGTGTCCAGCCCATCTTGCTCAGTTCAGATTGGCTGGACCCCAGCAGCAAGCTAACCTACTGGTCGGAGTGTCTGCCCCCTGGTAGTCAGTGCATGTCATAGCGAGCAGTTGAGCAGCCTTAGCATATCATTAGCATATTATGCTTTGATTGGTTGAACGGCTGACCAGATGACTGGACACTTAGCATATTAGGCTTTTATTATATAGGATACATTACTCAAAAAGCCATGAAACTACAGCAATCTTGAATTTACCTATTAAGACATCTATACACTCTATATTATTTGTTGCTGAAAAATATAAAGGACCAATAATGTTACTCTTGAGCAACTAGAGATTAGATATGCATTTTATCATTAAATATCATTCATATCTTTGGACATAAATACAAAATTTGATTTTAGAAAATAATTTTTGCCAAACTATTTTATGTGAAGAGGTACACCCATTACATTATCATGAAGGTCAAAAAACTTCTAGTCATAAAATTCATTTTTCTATTTAAAAAATTTCTGGTTATCAATTCTTTTTAAAAAGGACCAATTAAAAGAATATTTCAGGAAAAAATAATTAACATTTTGAATAAATCTTATAATTATGTAATTCATGTTTTGTATCTTGGCTAAAAATACAACAAACAAGACCCTCGGATGAATATAAAACAAGAAAACATAGGTTTCTGAAGCTAAAAGTCATAATGAATGTAGTTTTACATCATGAATTACTGACAATATTCAATGAGAGTACTTGTCATAAGTTAAATAGTGAGACTATTCAACAGTATTTGGAAGAAATGATACTTTAAATCTGGAAAAGAGAAATTACGTTTACTAAATTAATACTCTGCAATCATTTAGGTTCCTCTGAGTCAAGCATTATTGGTTTGACTTTACACCAGTTGAAACTTTCATTATAGAAATAAAAGAGACAATTCATTCATTTTGTAGTTATTTTTAAAATGAGAAAACTCCCACAGTATCTATTCCAAAGAAACAAAAGGATTTTTTCTAAATGGAGCACAATTAATACTCACATAAAATGTTTAAACTCCTATTTTTAGAGGAATGAAGAATATAGCATTATATATAAGATCTAGTTATTTGCAATCTTATATTCAATCTATGAGTCCAGGAATATTATTTCTTATAAATACAATCAATACCTAAGCAGATAAGGGAACTATTATAAATACTGTACTATATGTTGACCAGAGGACCTTTTCAACTAGGAGCATAAGATATGCCAAACTACTGACCTATCTAGAGAGAAAAACCAAAAAAGGAGAAAAGTAAAATACCAATATATGTAAAATAATATACTTTAGTATATGTTACATATATGCAACAAGTATAATTATGCACATCCAATAATGGCAGGGTTATCTGGGAAGAGACAGTGGTGATGTTATTTTATTCCATCAGAGGACACGGTTTAACTTCATTTTATAAAGATTACATAAATTAAATATCTTATATATTTAAGTAAATTTCTACTGATATGATATGCTAGTTTTTAATACTGCAAGCCATTTGAAGAAAAAAGTGGTATGATAAACTTAATCTTATCCAAGATTGCTCAAAAAAAAGAAAAGAACATTGTAATTTTAGACGAAAAGAGTCACTCTCCCACTATAGTCAAACTTCTTTTTAAATGCCAAAAGGACAATTATTACATTTTCACATTCCTAATGGAAATTTAATTTCATTAGCTAGTGATCATTATTGCATGAGATTCTGAAAGGTGCTATGTTACAGTTTGTGAAAGCAGAGATTAGTAAAATATGTCCTTCACTTTAAGAAACTCTGAATTGCCCTGACCGGTTTGTCTCAGTGGATAGAGTGTCGGCCTGTGGACTCAAGGGTCCCAGGTTCGATTCCGGCCAAGGGCATGTACCTTGGTTGCGGGCACATCTCCAGTAGGGAGTGTGCAGGAGGCAGCTGATCGATGTTTCTCTCTCATCGATGTTTCTAACTCTCTATCCCTCTCCTTTCCTCTCTGTAAAAATATCAATAAAATATATTTAAAAAAATAAAAAGAAACTCTGAATCTATCTAGTGGCAATAGATCCGCAATAGATCCGTTTGCTAAATATAATTTAAGTCAGAATAAATGGTACTAAATCAGGGTGTAAACAACTCACAGTGAGATTAAAAGGGGCACAGCAATCACAGATTCCTGGCTCTCAGTACCTTGTATCTCTGAACGCAGAGCTGCTCCTGCCCGGTTTTTCCAGAGGGGTGAAGGGAGGAAGACTGCCTGACTATATGGGCTATAAGCACAGACCATAGGTCTGAACGCTCCTTATAAACACTTTCAAATAAACCACCTGTTTAGCTCTGTATCTGCCCTTCCCCCATCGCCCTCTGCTCTGGTCGTTCCTTATGGAGTCAACTCCTGAGTGTTTCTGGGTTCATCAGCTGTCAGATAACTTCTGGACTGGCACCCTTTGCAGGCACTTGGGCTGGTCCTCCTTTTGTTCTGCTAAGTCATTTGCCAATCCTCTATGGATTCCATGTGGATTGGGGTTCTGGTGTCTTTTTGCTTGGGTGATTTTTCAAAAAGGCAGTACAATGGAAATTACTTAATTCTTTCATCTTACTACCTGCCTTGATTATGAGATTACTGCAATTTCACAGCTAAGTTGACGTTAAGAAAAGAGTATTGATAATAGAAGAGAAAATTTTAAACTCAAGCTATAAAAATAAATATTTTATAGAGAAATTTTTCAACAATGTGGCAAGTAAGGTAGGAGAAGATGCTCTGTGGTTTAGGAAAGCAGAAAGAAACTTCAAAGTATTGCCCAAATCATCTGAAGCAGGCCACTGCCCACTCTGTCAGAAGAAAAGAACGAGTTAGTAATGCACAAGTAATCCAAACCTTCACAAATAAGGTGAACTCTTCCACTTTCTCACTGGCTATCTGCAGTTTCTTCTGTGCACCTTCTAGGGCCTGCTCACTTTGCAATGCTAATCCTTGAAGCTGCTTAGAAGCTGCTGTTTCAATGTCTGCCATTGCAGATTCAGTCTCATTTATTTTTGATACTAGGAGAGAAAGCTTGAGATCCTGCAAAATACAGTAGTCATGGAATAAAGATATTTCATAAGCAGATTTGGAAGAGGTAGTTACCCATGCCAGATAAAGGATTTCATGACTCTCTATATGTGTATTTATTTTATTTGGGTAAAACTGATGGTTGTATTTATTTATTTTCAACAAAATAGCCTGAGCACACATTCTTTTTTGTTGTTAATCCTCACCTGAAGTTATTTTTCCATTGATTTTTAGGGAGAGTGGAAGAGAGAGAGAAAGACAGAGAGAAACATTGATGTAAGAGAAATATATCGACTGGTTGCCTCCTGCATGCGCTCCAACCAGGGCCTGGGCTGGGGAGGAGCCTGCAACCAAGGTAGGCACCCTAGACCATAATTGAACCCAGGACCCTTTGGTCCACAGGCCAATGATCTATCCACTGAGCCAAACCGGCTAGGATGTGTGTACATATCCTTATATATTCATCATAAAAATTAATTTATGCTTTCTAAAAATAATAAATCTCATATAGCAAATGGAAATATTAAATGAGTTTGTAAGTTTAGGTGGACTTAATTTATATCTACTTGTTCCAGTTATTAATAATAGTTTTCATTTATGAGAGACTAGGAGCCCAGCGCGATTCAAAATCGCACGGCGCCACCCACCCTCCAGTCCAGCCCTGCCTCCCTCCCCAGGCCCCTGCTGCTCCGCCCCCCGACGCTGCATGTGCAAACTCCTCCTGTCCAGTTGACCCGTTACGGCATCCCAGTTAATTAGCATATTTCTCTATTTTTTATATATATATGTAGATTATCAAGACACAAACTCTGTTTCTCTAATGTAGGAGTACCTTTAATGAAAACAGATTCTCAGTGTTTCATGTAGAGATAAAAGTGTTCTTTGCATTTATCTGAAACATTTAAGTAGCTCATAATAGTTTGGGGGAGAAAAAAATGACAATTTAAAAAATAAAAAAGACATTGTTATATTCCATTTCTAAGCTAAAGTGTCCTAAATGCATACCTTTTTTTCTAATTCCTCTTTAGTTTTCTGATACATCTCTTCATACTGCGACTTCTCTTTAACGGCGACACTAAGTCTTTGCTTTAGTGAATCAATTGATATCTTCTTGTTGGAACACTCTTCAGTCAATGTCTTTACCTAGAAGTGAAAGCATAAAGGTAATTATTATTGGTAAAGGCATTCTAATAGTGTACTTTTTGTTTCAACAGAAACCAAATGAACACATGAGTAAGTCTAATTTCATCTGGTTTCTCATAAATAATATCAATTTCAAGTATAAGATTTGTAGAACTAATATTATAAATGAGACTAATAGTCCTTAAATCAATAGCAAAACTAAATATTGCACCAAAGAAGTATAAATGCTGGCATGTGTAGTCTTTCACCTAATAATACAATACTAATTTAAACTACATTTCCTTTAATTACTAACCTAAACCTCCTTAAGCAGGAATGGTTGTTTTTGATACTTAAATAAGCTAAGTTATGGATAATTATTTATTGTATTCTCCAATATTACATGTACTTTTAAGAATAAAAGTAAGTGATGCAAGATATTTATTATACATATGAAAAAATAGAGGAAATAATTTTTCTTTTTCCATTGAATGCCAATAAAGATATATCATTACTATATTTAAAATAATTATTAAAGTTAAAAAATAAGAAGATTTAAAGGATAACATTTAAAGGATAACATTGAAAAACTATAAGGAAGTAATTATAATTTATGTGGTGTGTGGAGGAAAAAGAAAGAAATCCATATACACTTGTCTTGGTGGTATAAAATTTTCTCCCTTAAATCCATTTGAGCTAATAGATACTTATATTTTTATCTCCAAGTAAAATAAGGGAAACACTTTCTCTGGAGTTGCTAACACTGAGTGATTGCCAAAGCACAAGCTAATTTATGAGTTATGCAAGTAGCACCTTTAATGTATATATACATATACTAGTATATACCTCTTAGTCAGAAAATTGCTATTTCTACTTTGGGGTTAAATATTATACAACTATTTTAAATACAACTCTCTTCCTAAGTACACTTAAAGTGTATACAAAGAAAAGTATACTTTAAAAAATAATCCTCACCCGAGGACATGCTTAGAGAGAGGAGGTAAGTATATATGTGTATATACACTGAGTGGCCAGATTATTATGACCACCCCACCAGTACTTTGTTGGGCCACCTTTTCCCTTCAATACTGTGGCAATTCTTCTTGGCATTTACTCCATGAGATGCTGAAAGGTGATGCGAGGAATCTGACACCATGCCTGATGAATAGCACTGTCCAGTTCTGTGAGATTTGATGGTTGTGGAACCAGCTGCCTGATGGCTCTTTTAACTTCGTCCCACAAATGCTCAATTGGATTGAGATCTGGTGATTGTGGGGGCCACCTAAGCAAGGTAAAATCTCTCTCATGTTCTTGAAACCACTCCTGCACAATATGAGCACCATGGCATGGAGCATTGTCTTGTTGGAAGAAGCCATCTCCATTGGGATACGCCATCAACATGATAGGATGAACTTGATCAGCAACGATACTTAGGTATGTTGTGCTATTCAGACGTTGTTCCACACGAATTAAAGGGCCCAAATCATGCCAGGAAAACATGCCCCAAACCATAACACTGCCCCCACCAGCTCGAAGGGTTGTATTCATGCATGTGGGGTGCATGCTTTCATGCTGTTTCCGCCAAATTCTCACTCTGCCATCTGCATGATGCAACTGGAAACGTGATTCATCGGACCACATGACTTTTTTCCAATGCTTGACTGTCCAATCCTTGTGTTCCTGTGCGAATTGGAGACGTTTTATCTTGGTAACTGCAGGCAACAAAGGTGTTTGTTCAAACAGGTCCTTGGCTTCCATATCCCATACGATGCAGTGTATGGCTAATTTGCCTACAAACGTCAGGTGGTCATAATAATCTGGCCACTCACGTTCAAATATATCCCATGTTCAAAGGCTGTTAAATCACATTGTTTACCCATATCTTCAGAAAAAAAATCACTTCTACTGTTGTGGTAAACAATCTTCTTCCCTATTTATAATGGTCTGGCCCTCTAGCAACTTCAGTGTGAAATTATAGCTAATTTGCCTACAAACATCAGGTGGTCATAATAATCTGACCACTCAGAGTGTGTGTGTGTGTGTGTGTGTGTGTGTGTGTGTGTGTGTGAATATATATTTATTGATTTCACAGAGGAAGGGTGAGGGAGAGAGAGAGAGAAACATCAGTGAGAGAGAATTACTGACCAGCTGCCTCCTGCACACCCCACACTGGGGATCAAGCCTGCAACCTAGGCATGTGCCCTAACTGGGAATCGAACCATTATCTCCTGGTTCACAGGTCAAAGCTCAACCGCTGAGCCAGGCCAGCCATGCAGAAAAGTATATTTTTAAAAATTGTGGTAATATACTTTAAAAAAACTTTGATAGATTTTGGTTACCACTGTTTTTCATTTAAAAATATATGCTTGGTTTTATAATTAAAAATTATAGTTTAAATAAAACAAAATGCTGAAAAAAATGTAATTATGCATCCTAGAAATATTCAAACCTTTATAAATTAAACTTGATTATGTTCTCACATAAAAATATCGTGCTATATTATATATGAGATTTTAGAGTCATGAATTTTAAAACAAATAGTGTACTTACAGAACAAATAATGAAATTATGTAATAGTACCCATATATTCTATGGATATTTCCTATAAATTTTATTAAGAGTGAATATTTGAGTTAAGCAGGTAAATACAATGGGTAATGATTTTTTTAGTTTCAGGGAACATATAGAAGTTCATACCTTTTTTTCAAGATTTTCTAACATTTCATTAATGCTCTCATTACTTTCCAAATTTACTTTCTGTCGAAATTTCAAGTCCTCTATCAAATGTCTTTTCATGGTTATATCCCTTTCCATTCGAGACAACCTTAAAAGGAAAAAAAGGGCATTTTATCAAAAGTGATAAAAAATACTTTAACAGTGATAATACCTTATCCAATGTTACATCTACTGTTAATTGTTAAATACTGTTTGATATCAATGAAATTGCAAATTAATAAAATAATTGAAAGTAATAAATATTGCTCTATTAATGAGTACTTGTAAAATCTATAATCCAGTTATCACTTGTTAAAGATAATATTGCACATACATTAAAAAAGTGACTGAGAAAGATAAATAAAATTTATGAAAAGTCAAAATTGTTATATTTAAATTACACTGTTTCATTGGTAAAAAAGTCAAAGCGATATTCAGAGATCATCCAAAAGCATAACACTGATAAGAAGTAATTCTATACTATAATAAAAAAATATTAAATTTTATAACTGTTAAATAAGCAAAACTGTTTCTTAATAGATAAATTTCAAGATAGTCTGTTTAAAAATTAACCAACCTTTTGTGTCTAATAGTTTTATCTACTGATATCACTTTTAAGCGATCCTCACATATAATGTAGATTATACATGTATGCATGTAAAATATATGTATTAAGTTATTAATGACAGATTAGAATCCTACCTAAACAGGTTATCACTTCTAAGCTCTAGTATATCTATAAAAGATATAGAAATAAAATCATTTTGAGATAGAACATTTTATTTTATTTTTAAATATTTTATTGATTTTTTACAGAGAGGAAGGGAGAGGGACAGAGAGCCAGAAACATTGATGAGAGAGAAACATCAATCAGCTGCCTCCTGCACACCCCGCCACGGGTACATGCCCTTGACCGGAATCGAACCTGGAACTCTTCAGTTTGCAGGCTGACGCTCTATCCACTGAGCCAAACTGGCTAGGGCATTTTTCCATTGATTTTTAGAGAGGGTGGAAGAGAGAGGGAAAGACAGAGAGAAACCTTGATGTGAGAGAGACATATCAATTGGTTGCCTCCTGCACGAGCCCTGACCAGGGCCTGGGCCGGGGAGGAGCCTGCAACCAAGGTATGTGCCCCTGACCAGAATCAAACCCGGGACCCTTTGGTCCACAGGCCGACACTCCATCCACTGAGCCAAACCGGCTAGGGCATGGGATAGAACATTTTAAACCTTTGTTAATAAACACGGAAAGTACAAACTTTCATAATCCTCCAGTAATTTTAAATACAAACAAAGCTTTACCTTTTTCCCCAACTTAGTTTTGTAAGTTTAGGCATTATATCCAATATGAGGATCAATCTACACCTATATCTTTGGTTGAATAATCAGCACATTCTAAAGTTTTTTGTTCACAGTCTTTAGGCTTTTAATTGATATTTATTCCAAATTAAATGTTTACTCTAAGAAGGAAAACCTAACTTTAGATATTCTTACTCTAATTAAAAAATAGTAACCATATTTCCATCAACCACACTATATGTAATATTCCTTACATTTTCATTTTAAGTAGGCTTAAACGAGAACTAAAAAAGGAAAACAATTTTTGACATGTCACTATTGTTTCTTGGATTGCATTTAATAGAGTTAACTGCCACTAGGTGGCACCAAATACAATAGATGCAAATATGAAAAACATACTTTTCATGCATTTCCTTTATGTGTTCTTCTTTTGCTAGGAGTTCAAATTTCAGAGACTTCATGCTTGATGATTGCTTAGTGAGTTCATTAGTTGCATTCTAGATTTAAAATACAAACAAATTTAAATGCACCTTTCAATCTTGTTCTAAAGCAGCATAAAAATAAATGCCATTCTCATGAAGAGCAATTTTCAATTATAGTTATAAATTAAAATGAACATTTAAATATTTAAAATGCTTTATTTTATAATAAAAATACTATAGTATACTAAAATTTTTAGACGACATGCCCAAACCATAGAGGTACACATCATGAAACAACTGCAAAGAGTACGCTCCCAAAATACATTTATGGGAGATATGGATTGTCTTTGTAAAATGTAAATGTGTGATTAAGTACTGTAATGGTTTAATGAGATAACTTAAAACTAATGCTGGATTTTACTAGTAACTTGTAACAGCCTCAATATGGTCACAGATGCTTTGCTGCTCTTCCCATTGAGAGGTGGAATCTATCTCCCAACCCTTTGAATCTGGGCTGGCCTGTGATTTGCTTTGACCAAAAGAATGTGGCAGAAATAAAACTGTAGAAATATCAGTCCTGGGCCTAAATCCTTGTAGCATGTACCTGTGCCCTCTTGGAATGCTGCCCTGGAATCATCTTCCAAAAAATATGGAGGAAAGGCCATTTAAAAATTTGATTAAATTTTATTATTTTTATTATTTTTTAATTAAATTTATTGAGGTGACATTGGTCAACATGAACATATAAGTTTCGGGTGTGGGTTTCTATGTTACAAGATCTATATATTGTACCATGTGCCCACCACCCAAAGTTAAATCTTCTGTCACCATATATTAGAACCAATTTCTTCCCCTACCCTCTTCTCTCTGGCAACCACTACACGGCTGTTTTATGTTCACAAGTTTCAGTTTTATATCCCACACTAGAGGCCCAGTGCATGAAATTTGTGCACGGGGGGGGGGGGGGGGGTGTCAGGTGGGAGTGTGTGTCCCTCAGCCTAGCCTGCACCCTCTCCAATCTGGGATCCCTCTCAGAATCCAGGACTGCTGGCTCCCAACTGTTCGCCTGCCTGCCAGCCTGATCACTCCCTAACCACTCCCTTGCCAGCCTGGTCACCCCTAACTGCCCTCCCCTTTTGGCCTGGTCGCCCCTAACTATCCTCCCCTGCAGTCCTGGTCACCCCCAACTACTCTCCCCTGTTGGCCTGGTTGCCCCCAACTGCCCTCCCCTGCAGCCCTGGTTGCCCCCAACTGCCCTCCCCTGCTGGCCTGGTTGCCCCCAACTGCCCTCCCTTGTAGCCCTGGTCGCCCCCAACTGCCCTCCCCTGCCAGCCTGGTCGCCCCCAACTGCCCTCCCCTGCTGGCCATCTTGTTATGGCCATCTTTGACCACACGGGGGCAGCCATATTATGTTTTGGAGTGATGGTCAATTTGCATATTACCTCTTTATTAGATAGGATGAGTGAAATCATATAGGAAAGGCCATTTGGAGGAGTACTGAGTTACCCCAGCTTATAATCAACTGACCAATTGTCAGGCCCATAAGTGAGGAACTCCCAAGCCTGGTAAATCCTTATTTAGAAAGAATGCGGGCATATTAGGGAACCCAGAATATTATAAGAAATAATAAATTGCTATTGTTTTAAGCTTTGACATGTTAGGATTATTTTTTAGATAGTAATAGGTAATTGATAAAGAATCTTATGAATACTAAATACTTCTTTACCTGAACATATTAATAGTATGACTTATTATTAATGTATCTATACTAATAAAAGCCTAGGTGGTCCTCACGCCCTTGCGCAACATCTTCACAAGATAGCCACCACAAGATGGCTGCCACAGGATGGCTGTGCACACAGGGATCGGGATCGGGCCTAAACCGGCAGTCGGACATCCCCCAAAAGGTCTCAGATTGGAGAGGGTGCAGGCCAGGCTGAGGGACATCCCCCCCCCCCTCGTGCACAAATTTCGTGCACCAGGCCTCTAGTTTATACATAATTATTAGTTTTTCAATGTAGAACAGCTTTGGGGTATTTGTTGTCTGCATAGGCTAGGAGTCAGAGGTAGCAACTAGAGTGTTAAGACCCCTAACTTTATATTTTGAGTCAAATTCCAAGTAAGCATGTAATCTGAGACATCACTTGATATTTTTTTTCCACTTACAAGACAGTGTTGACATACATTGAGTCATTTCCTAAATTCAAAAGTATTAAAATAATATAAATATGAGAGCTTTAAAAATATTTGGAGTAGTAATTTCATTAATCTTTTAAGTAACTATAATCAATTTTTTCTATTAGAATTATTACCAGATTTGACTGACTCATGCTAAAAAACATGTAAGTCTGACAAGATGAAACCATTAATCACATAATGTAAATATGAGTCAAATTCATTAGACAGACTTTAACTATCTTACTGGTATACTATCTACACTAATAAAAGAGAAACATGGTAATTAGCATATGACTGCTACCCTTCCCATTGGCTAATCAGCATATCCTTATGCAAATTAACTGTCAGCCAAGATGGCGGGCGGCAGCCATGCACTGAAGCAAGCAGGGAGGCTTGCTTGCTCCAGTGACTGCGGACTCCAACGTTCCCCGCCTGCCGCTGCCGGCCTCTCAGCTGCAACTCTAAGCAACTTTGTTGCAAATATAGAAGCTAAACAAAACCCCAGAAACCTGCGTTAGTCAGCCGGGCTTCAGCCAGCCGGACCGCAACATTGTATCAAATACAGAAGGTAAAGGCCAGAAACCTGCTTTCAGCAGCGAGGCCTCAGAGCTAAAGCTGGCCCAGAATAAAAAAAGAAAAAAGAAAAAAAGGAGCAGTTGGGAGCTTCAGTCAACCCACCAGCCTGAAAACAGCCCTGAGCCCCTCACCCAGACTGGCCAGGCACCCCAGTGGGGACCCCCACCCTGACCCAGGACACCCTTCAGGGCAAACCAGCCGGCCCCCACCCTTGCACCAGGCCTCTATCCTATATAGTAAAAGGGTAATATGCCTCCTGGCACTGGGATCAGCGTGACAGGGGGCAGCGCCCAAACCCCCTGATCACCCTGCGGCTCTGTGTGTGACAGGGGGCAGGGCCACAATCTCCCTATCTGCCCTGCTCTGTTCCTGACAGGGGAAGGCACCCCAACCCCCTGATCAGCCCTGCTCTGTGCCTGATAGGGGGGAGCTCCCCAATCCCCTGATCGCCCTGCGGCTGTGTGTGTGACAGGGTGTGGCGCCCCAACCCCTGATCGGCCCTGCTCTGTGTGTGACAGGGTGCGGCGCCCAACCCCCCCCCCC